CTCTCTCTCTCTCTCTCTCTCTCTCTCTCTCTCTTCAAGCGATCAATCACACACCCTTCCTTATCTCTGTGATCTTTCTTAATAAGAATCCCTCACCCTTTATCTCTCCTTCTCTCTCTCTCTCTCTCTCTAACGGAACCTCCCTTCGTCCCTCTTTAACCTCTCTCTCGCTCTAAACCTGAGGGGACTCTGCACGATTGGTGCGAACTCTCTCTCTGAACCGTTGTCTCTGTTTCCGAGTTTCGCACACGCGCCTGTAAAAACACGCGGATACATACAAGCGTTGCCCTGGCAGCCCGGCCAGGCCTACCTCCTTATAGGCACCAGCCCGGCTCGGGTCTAGGCCCGGCTGTGCCATGCTTAAGAATTTATCAATGCAATTCACAAAGAAACAAAAAAAAAAAAGAAATGAAAGAGAAAAGGGTGTAAACAATCAAATTAGATCCTACCTAAAAAATTTCATTAGAAGACATTGTTTTGATGCTCAAATATCCTCAAATTGATTATCTCGACATCAAGATGCATGGACATGATAAAAAAAAATGAATTTCAAGTTTTAGAAATAGTGTATCTTGTAACATATTTTTGGACAATCAATTTTCATAATTTCATGGATCAGCTCCATTTATATTATTTTTAAAGTTTTTAAAATTTATAATTAAATATGAAAATATATTTTAAAGCTATCACAAAGATTTCTAGTATTGAAACCACATTTCTCGACATTATTTGAGGGTGGGCTTTATTTTGATTGTTTAGAACCTCAACTCTATAGAAATTACACCCCCAAAAAATGGAGAAGTATAGAATAAGATTATTTACTTTTGATACAAGGTAGCCACAATTACTCTTGACTATTGGATGTGAAATCTAATAGCTGCATTTATTCTATTGACCAAACTCAAACTTCAAAAAAAATTTCTCGACACACTAAAACTATCAAATTTCACATCATATAGTTGTAAGTAATTATGGCCACCTTGTATCAAAAGTAAATGGTTTCATTGTATACAATCCCAAAAAAAACTGAGCCAAGTAAAGTGAGGGTAGCCCTAGACCTGGCCCAGCCCGACCTCACCCTCAAGTTGTGAGCCAAGTAAAGTGAGGCTAGGCCTAGACCTGGCCCAGCCCGACCTCACCCTCAAGTTGTGGTATCCTGGCATGAGTCCAGCTCTTAGGACACATTTCATGGCCCAAGTCATAGTTGTTTAGGGCTGAGTCAACAACACCAGGCAAGGCTACTTAGCCCATTCCAGCCCTGGCCACAGTATTTATAACACCCTAGGTAGAATGAGGAACTGTCATATCATGAACGGGATAGTGGCAGATCGTGAATTGGATGGTGATGGACAATGAATGGTTTGCAACAACAAATCCTCGAAAATAGAAAACCAACGTAGGATATGGGATTTTGGGATAAATATGATCAAGAAAAGATGAATCAAGATAACATTTGAGTTCAAAATGAAATCTTGAATAACCTGTCACCCGAGGTCTCAGATGTCTGGCCCAAAACCCTAAAATGCTACGCCCTAAAGCGTCTGAATCCTAGAAGCGAAAAAAACTTGCTGCTTGAAACCTGAAAGCTTTGGACAAGAGGTGTAAATAACCAATGGTCATAATATAAACAGCAACCTCCAATTCGGATGTTCCGGGCCAACCAGCTCGGGTAGATAGGCCTCTTATTTATTTTTTCTTTAATTTTCAATTAATTATGATTATTTTAATTAGATTTAAGTTGCATAGAATTGCCTTTATTTTTTTTGGCAAAAAGATCAAGCAGGTACTGTTGGCGATTTAAAGGAAACTTGCCCTACATGGGATTAATTGGCCTTTAAACTGTAATTCAAACATTATCCATGCAATCTCTATCGAATTTTCATTTAACTAGTTCTGTAGCGATAAATCAGGGGATTTTAGGCTTGAAATTCTCCTGATTTTGCGTTGTAAACAAAAAGAGAGATAAACGTGCAACATGTGGGCCTATCCGCATGCAAAATTAATAAGTAATATCATTTATTCGAGAAAGAGTTATAGTTCAAAATAAATGCATATGTACACCATGTAACGATTACATAGTATTTTTTGTGATCCAGTCAAAATACATTGCTCACAGGAAACTTCACTAGAAAGCTCGTCTAAAAAGGAAGACCAAAATTTTCTCTTATACCTTTGGTTAAGTCAGGAAAATTACACGTGATAGAGGCAAATACTACCGGCAGTAAAAAAAAAAAAAGAGTAACGATCCTATAGGACCTCCCCCCACCCATGTGTGTAGGACCTCAAAGGATCACCAGTAAAGTTGGTACAGATCTCTAGAAAAGTAATCGCATGAGTATGGGACTTGACTTTTCTATAGATCCGTACCAAATTTAATGGTGATCCTTTGGGGTCCTACACATATGGGTGGGGGAGGTTCTATAGGATCATTCTTCAAAAAAAAAAAAAAAAAGGCACCACCCATAGTATTGACTTGCAATATAAAAAATATTTGATGGCAGCATACTCAAACTACTATCAATTTGAAGATATTTGAGCATCTAAACAACTTCTTCTAGTGAAATTTTTTAGGTAGGCTCAAATTTGATTATTTAGAGCTTCGGCTCTATATAAACTTTTCCCCTCTTTAAACCACAATTTGTTAATATCCAACCTTACAAGTTCATGATACCTCATCATGAAAATAGTCATAAGGGTATAAACACATCTCAGAGATATTTCAAGAGTATGAAATTTAAGGCTTTAAACCTCCTGGCCAGATAATGAACTTTCCACCAACAGTTTCTTATAATTGGCAAAAAATTACATGAAAAGATCATTCTAGACTTATCTAAAATACCACGTATCGCATAAAAATGCATCACTGACGTCTCACGAGACTAGTGGATCATTTCCAACTACAAGCACTACCTATTTCTTAGGCACGTCAAGATAACTGCCTGGTGCAAAGTACATAACAAGGCCAGCCATCCCCAAGCCAAGGGGGAAGACGAGACAGAGGAATATACAAACATCCAGAGATACATAGAGACTAATGAATATATGAAACCTATTACGCGCATACGAAACCCATTACGCGCAGTGAGGGATGAAAAATCTATTATGCACCTTTGGAAAATCTTTCACATGCCTCTCTCTCTAAAAATTCATCTTTATCTCCTACTAAAAATTGCCTTCTCTCATAAACCAAGCAAGAAGCCTTATCCTCTCTCTCTCCTTCCCCTTATCTCATAAACCAAGCAGTAAGCCCTACCCCCTCTTTCTCTCTCTCCTTCCCCCAAAACCATAAATTGCATCTCTCCCTTAATTTTTCCAAGACAGTTTTTGCTCTCTCCATCAAGGAACCTCTGCTTTCCGCTCTCGTCATCAAAGAACCTTGCTCTCTAACTTTAGATAGAAATATACCAAGTACACTCATCTATCTCTTGGTCTTCTTCTATTTGTTTCTCTCTCTAGAATTCCTTATACTGGCTTTACTCAAGCCTTTTTTTGTGATGTTTTTGGAAAATGCTAAATCTTCTTATGGGTTTTAATCTCTCTCTACAACTTTGAGATGATTTTGGCCCATCTCTAAACATTGTGGTTGGAGCTTCATTGGTCTCTCTCTAAAACCTAGACAGGGTTTTGTTGTTAAAGTTTGTTTTGTTGTAGATAGTACCCACGTCTAATGGGGTTTTATTGTTAAATAGGTTATAGGGAATATCAATATCCAATTTTAAATTCTGATTGTTCTAGAAATCCAATGGGTAAATTTCTAAGACAGTTGTCGCAGATTTATTTAATAGACGAACTTCTGATTGTTCTGAGTCTAGGCAAACAATACTTCTAAGACAATTGTTTCATATTTATTTAAAAGGCAAACTGCTGATTATTTTGAAAATACAATAGGTAAATTTAAAACTCTTACCAACAAGTTTCTAATTCTTCAATGTCAAGAAGTTGTTTCTAATTTCTAAATTGGAAGAGTCTCTCAAATGCTACAATTTCTTGTGACCATGTAACTTTTTATGTTTACTCCTACATATGCTCAACTTTGTTATGGGCATGAGTAGTTAGACTATGTACCTACTTGTGCAACCTTTGACTCTCTTTACCTATTTGACTAATAACTGCATAAAATAATGAATGTTTGATTAATAAAAGCAACTACAGTACCTCAAAATCACTTGTGCACCCTTGCTCTTGGAATCTCGTTGATTTTTATCTTTATCTCTTAACCACATCAGTCTATGGGAAGAGATATTCACTGCTAATTTAATGAAATTCTTGATCTTAAATTATGTTTGCTCTTGATCACCCATCATGGTTGTTAAATTTGTTAGCCATTAGCATCGTCGTTACATTAACTCTAATGCATTCAGGTATTTATAATAACCGAATTGTGTATTCATAACCACTTCGTTGAAAAATGACTAGTTTGTATATATGTATCTGATTTATGCTTGCTATTGGGATTTTCTTAAGGTCTTATAGAGTGATCAATCTTTTCCTATGGTGAGTAACAATCAAAACCTCAAGCATGAAGTAAAGATGAAAATAGCCAGATCACTTGCTGCAGCTGGTAGTACTATAGCTATATTAGGTACTATTCTAGCGACCTATGTGCATAAATCATCTACACCAAAGCGTAATTCAATTGGTACAAAGTACCATAAAACGATAATTAACTCCACTAAAGTGGACTGTCGAAATCATATTATAATGAGTAAAAGAGCTTACTTTATATTGAGAAATATTCTTTTAGAGAGAGAAAATATTACTGATACAATAAGGGTTTCATTTGATGAACAATTTGTGATGTTCATGCACATTCTAAGCCACAACCTGAAGAACCGAAAGATTGGTCATGAGTTTGGTCACTCAGGAAAAACTGTCAGTCGACACTTTAACCAAGTGTTGAATGCAGTCATAGGACTTCACAGATAATTCTTCAAACCACTAGAGTTGAACATACCACCAGAAATCACTCGTAAGAAGGGGACGTTGTTTCCTTATTTTAAGGTAATACATATTGGTCATACTTATTGTTTTTTACTTGATTAATGTAGTATTCGGTAATATTTTAATTGCTTCTTGATAATAGGATTGTATTGGAGCTATTGATGGCACTCATATTCCGACAATTGTTCAGAGTAATCTCCAAAAAAAAATTGTAATAGAAAGGGTTTTACATCACAAAATGTGATAGGCATTTGCCCATTTAACCTTCAATTCTAATACATTATTGCTAGATGGGAGGGCTCTGTTGTTGATTCTCATATTTTGCAATCATCACTGTCCTGTGATGATCCTCTTGTAGTTCCCATTGGTATTTCGATTCTATCTTTGATACTATAGTTGTTCACATAACAATATATT